AATAGAATTGGGTGTTATGTATGTAAATGCCCTTTTTTTGTCACGGTTGTGCAAAAAATCACATGAACATTATTTGCGTTTTTCGCAACAGCAACCCTTCATAAATGGATTTACACATATATGCCTTTCTGTTTAATAGATGATTTTGTAAATTGACCTTCTGCAGGTTACAGGGGAGGGAGATGACAAATATCTTATAGCTACGTCTGAACAGCCATTATGTTCATATCATCTAGAGGAACGTATCTACCCCACAAGCTTACCTTTAAGGTATAATTTGTTTCAGTTTCACTCCATTAATTTTAGGAAGATTTACATACATACCACTCAATTCGTATGTATTTACAAACCTAACACCTAAACTTCTATTTTTACATGCATACCACCTTACCTATGCATGGAAAGGTGTATTTCACTTTTTAGAAGTTAAAATAGTGATATTTTTTATGTGATATGAAAGATTTAGGTGACATAAATGTACAAAGCAAAGCTTAGGTGTTAGATATGTAAATGCATAGGAATCGGGTGGTATGTATGTAAATGTGCCTTAATTTTACTGTGCAATTAATCATATAAGGAAGATTTCTAAAGAAGTGCCATCACTAAAAGTGCCTTTTTTTTATAATCTATTAGATATGCTGGATTTTCGACGTGTTTCCGAAAGGAGGCTGGATCTCATGGGCGCGACACATTAGGCATTTTCAGAGTTCATCAGTTTGAAAAAGTGGAGCAGTTTTGTATCACAAGCCCAAATGACAATGAGTCTTGGCTGATGCATGAAGAAATGCTCAAAAACTCGGAGGAATTCTATCAGGAGGTAGATATTAATCAGCTTCTATGGTTCCTACTGCAATAACTTCCCTCGTATTTACATATCTAACACCTAAACATTCATATTTACATGTATACCACCCAAATCTTTAACATCACATCAAAAGTAATACTATCACTGTCTTTTTAAAAGTGGAATAAACCCTTTCAGCATCAAACTTTAGGTGGTAGATATGTAAATACATAAGAATTGTGTGCTATTTATGTAAAATTTCCCATTTCCTTATTGTCATCGATGGTTCGAGTTTTGTCTCTTTGCAGCTTAAGATCCCCTACCAGATTGTTTCCATTGTATCTGGAGCTTTGAATGATGCGGCTGCCAAGAAATATGATCTTGAAGGTTGGTTTCCTGCATCAAAAGTGTACAGAGAGCTTGTATCTTGTTCAAATTGCACTGATTATCAGGCCAGGAGATTAGGAATTGGATACGGACAGAAGAAGGTAAGTTTCTTTTATATTGAAGCTGTTATTTAAGCCAAATATATTGGAATTTGACATCTAATATATATTTGGTAAATGATAAACGAGATTTGAGTTGAGATATTACTTGCAATTGACGGTAGACTTGAAGATGTTTATAGAACAAATGGGAGAAGTACACATATACCATTCGATTGTCAGAGCTAGTTTTGTAAATTTCCCAATGCTTTGGCTGTAATAAGTGTTAATTATTTGGTTTGGGCAGTTCATTTGTTTCGGTTGGGTGTTAGATTTATGAATTTGCATTGCTTTGATTGCTTGTATGTGATTTTTCTTTTATTATTGGCTATATTGAAGAAATCCTAAAATAAAAATGGCACTTTTCTGCTCTTAAGATTTTGAATTTATGAACTAACCCTGATTAGACATGAGGAGGCGGTCTTGCCATCTCCCATCTTTTCACATTCATACCAGACATTTCTTACCTATTTGCATATCTAACACCTAAACATTTATATTCACGTAGATACCACTCATATCTTCAACCTCACATCAAAATTACAATCATCGCTATCTTTTTATGCATAAGTTCATGACATCAAGCTGTACCAAGTGTAAATATCAAAATTTGGGTGTTAGACTTATAAATACATAAGATTTGTGTGGTATATATATCTGAATTTTCCCTGTTTTTTTGTATTATAGTCATTATTAATATCTCTTTTGCATAAATATTTGATCTTTTTGCTTCCTGGCCTTTGTATCTTAATGTCTACTTGTGCAGAATGATGAACAGTCCAAGCAATTTGTCCACATGCTGAACTCAACACTTACAGCAACAGGAAGAACCATCTGTTGTATACTTGAAAACCATCAAACAGAGGACGGCGTGGCCGTCCCTGAAGCCCTGCGGCCTTACATGTGCGGCATTGAATTTCTGCCTTTCAAGAACTGAAGCAAGCAAGGTTAGAGAACCAATTTCCCTTTTACTCCTTCTGATTTAAAGAAATACCAACTGTTGTCTTAGATTTT